TGCGTCACGCACAAGCTGCACCGTGACATTATCTGTCATCGGCAGCACAGGTCCCCAAGCACATTGGGCCAGAATCCCAACACCGGCTGTGTAGGCAAAGTGATTTGAAAATACCAAACTGCACGTGAAGATCACAAATAGGGTGAAACTAGTTAGGGCCACGTTTCGATGGCAGCTGTACCGATCTGCAAACGCTGTCAATAACTGTCCGCTTACAGCGTTGCAAACGGTCATTGCCGTCAGAAGCCCGCCTATGACTGCATTATTCATCCCACGGCGAGACAGTACATATGCCGCGAAAGGTTCCCAGGACGCATCTGCCGCGAATACGCAGAAATATACCGCCTTCGCAAGTAATAGCATACGCGAATGATGCGCAGCATCGTATTTTTGTGGCTTTGTCACCTCTTCCGCTTGGTAGGTATACCCCGACACCAGGAGGTCACGGGGAGATCTAGCCTCGCCCAGATTCGCAGTTGCTGATATGATATCGCCCACCCCTTTGAGACCCCCGTCGTCCATTTTTAATTTACATTTATAAGTTGAGCATGTTAGAAAGTAGCTTTCTAGTCTCGAGGAAGTCACTGGCGTAAAAAATAGTACACCAGGGAGCAGCCCAGCCGCTCGTCAAGCATGACGCGCCGCCGTCGTCGCTGCCCCCCCGGCCCGACCATGGCGGGCCCGCTGCTCGTCTGGGAGTCCGGCGCGACGTTGTCCGTGCACGGTTTGACGGCGGCGCATTCGGGCTTCCGCCCCATCCAGTGTCGGTTGGCGGCGGCGACTTCAGGTCGTGCGCGAGCACGCTGGTTCGGCGCCCCCGGGCATCTCTGGGTTCGGACCCGCGAGGCCGCCGACTTCCGCGTTCGAGGGGGGCGCACGACCGTGCCGCGCTCCATGGAGGCGCGCTGGCTCGAGGCTCTCCGCGGCGCCCGAATCGCTCGCCGCCGCGCGGCGGGCTTTCAGGGCAACCGCGTGCACGTCCGAGACCCACGGCGCCAGCCTCTGCGGCGTGGGCTACGCCGAGCCCAAGCAGACCTTCCCCGGCGACATCATCTGCCGTACCTACGCCTTCGCCGAAGAGCTGGCGCGCGCTGTCCAGTCCCGCGCGAGGCGCGCGGGCCTCGACTTAAAACACCGACGCATGTGCCATCTACGGGCGCACTCGTCGGTGGGGGAGAGCCGAGGGAGACGCCGCCCCCCCCGGGCCGACGGCAGGCCTTTCAGACCACGCCCTGGCCCCGCTTGACCTCCCCCTCCGCTCAGTCGAATCAACTGTGCTTAAACAGTTCATGAGTCAACGATAAGACCATGATCG